TCTGGACTAGGATCAGTTCTCACTACTCTGCTTCCCTTTGCTTGCCCAGTAAGGACCCAATATTCACTTAATGGACTCGTCTAACACAACAAAATTTATGAACATGACAGCTCAAAAACCTGATATTTGAAAGCCCTCATACTCCTCCAGAACCATGCAGCCTACACTCAAACCAATGTGAAGAAATAGTCCTGGATACCTGCTGTCTTTGACAAAAAACCTCTTGAGCCACAGAGGACAGCACTGAATCATGACTGAAGCATTTTAAAGTTACTAACTGCTTTTTAAAGGTACAATACCCATACAAGAGATTCTTTTTGACACCAGCGAAGAAGAGAAAAATGAAGACTGCCTGATGTCCCATGTGAGACTAGAGACTGAAGAAGAGAAAAAAACCTCTCGCCTTTTTTCCATCGTTCCCTCCCACCATATCCAGGTGGTGACCACACACAGTTGGAGCTGAAACCCTCACCTCTAACTCAGGAACATCCATCAGTCACCAACTTCTGAGTTGCTTCAGTTCATCAAGAGAGTGATTAAAATAGTTGCCTCAAAACCAATACGTGACATGTCACTCGACACCCTCCAAAGGCAGATTGGCTCAGTTTTTCCCAAACTCAACTGTCAAACTTACCACTTTTCTTGACAAAATACCGGTGTGCATTCTGAGCATATTCACAGACAATAAAGCAGTGGTTGATCTTGATGGTGCTAAGAGAAGCTGGTGTTGAAAGGGGTGTGGCAGAAGAACCGGTTCTACTCCGTGTCCGTTTAATTGATTTCTTAACACAACTATTTTAAAGCAAGTGTGAGAGACCAGAACAAGTGAATTTCTGGTAAGTGAAGACTGACAGGTGGGAACAAACTAGAAGAACTTCTGTAGTTAGTTATGAGATAATTCTGGATTTTTCCAAGGATATTCTGGGTTGGTAACTAAGTTACAAAATCAGGAAAAAAACCCAGACAATAGCCAAAACACATTGAAATTCCTCAATCAGAAGGAAAACAAGATGTAGACACATAGTTGAAGTGTCAAAATCATCAAGTCAATGCTGAGATGAAACACATGAAAGAGGTGTGAATAAGAATAGTAAGAAATTGAAAAGTAACTTGTGCTGCTAGAGATGAAGGATCTGAGTTCATCTTCTTTTTTCAACAGAAGAGTAAAAAAAATACTTTGAAACCTGGCTCAAACTGGCCATGCCCATCACAGCTGACTCAAGGGCATCACACATCAATCTGTATCATAAAAAACAGGCTAACAGCTCCCACAAAGAAAACAGTAGCTGTGTTCGGGGGGGGGGGGGGGCGGGAGAAGAAAAACTAAGGAAGAAGGTAGGAGCATTGATATCCACTTCTCGCTTATTCTAAGCGAACCAGTTAGTCTTAATTTGTGCATACTATTGCATCTCCCAACAGACACAGCTACACTGTGAAAAAGTGTCAGATCTCATAAAAGAAGTTCGTGGAAGTTGTCAGAGAAGAAAACTAGAATGCATCACCTACAGGATACATGTGCTACTACATTTCAAGTAGTTTCCTGCATCTTAGGGGAAAATGCAGAACAACTACAAGGAAAAACAGTCTTCATGGACAACTGACATTTGAATGATCTTTCGGATTTCATTACAGCATTTTAACCTGAATAGATTTTTTAAGTCTAGACAGCTCTTTACATTTTTCTTTCCATTTTCTCCTTCAAATCTACCTTTACGTTCTGCTTTAACTTGCAATCTTCTTCAGAGCATTCGCTCTCTCTAAGAGCAAACAATATCTGACTCAAAACATGCTATTTTAATGAGAAAATACAGCATATAGAATAATCTCAGAGTACATGAAAATCAAAATTATATAAACCCGTAAAAATACATGAGAAAAAAGAAAACTTACACTTTGGTTAAGAGTTCTTGTTCCTTTTGTAAATGCGATGTTATGGATGTACGACATTAATCCTAGCAGTAGCATATGGCAGGATAATGATCATCTAAGGATCAAGACTGTAAATCGTTGAACTTATACCACTGAGTTTTTACAAGATAGCCTGGCAACTCCCTCTTGAAGTATGAATATCTTTAAAATATGACATACATTTGTATTGCCTAAGGTCTATTCCCATGCAATACAAATGCTCAAACATCAGCAGTAACGAACAGAATGACCTCTAATCAACAGAATTTGTTCTGCTCTTGGGATGCTACATAAATCAGTTACCAAGGAGTTGCCAAAGTCTTACGAAGTGCTTGAAAGCTCTGCCTAGACAGAAGTAACAGAAATATATTTAGGACATTTTTGGATACCAGCATCCAAACCCAAATACTATGTAACCATGTAAAGTTCACCCCAAGACAGGTGGTTTTATTACTGACTTTTATAAAACGTACTCCCAGACTCTAATGCTATTTTACACAAAATATAAAATATCTCCCCATTTTTCCAAATATCATCAAGTATTATGGATAAATCAAGGCCTTTTCAAATCAACCTATATTACTCACTTCACTCGTGAGAAATCTTGCATGAAATTTTCTCTTCATACTGAAGATGCGTTGTAGCTATAAGGAAGTTATTTGTAAATACCAGCTTCCACCCAACATGGATGAGTTCCTCAAGGTCCTGTAATTGAGAAACGTTAAGCCTGACAACCTCTGTCTTTCCCCCTCGCCCCCCAACCAGCAACTCCTGGCCAACACTGACAGCTTGAGCAGCTACCGCCCCATCCCTCTTACTGTGCTGTGCTAGAGATCTATTTTTGGCTGGGTCTGTTTTCCAAACCAGTTCACGCCATGTCCGCCCAGACACGCATATCAATACAATGGAAGGATGGGAGGGGAGAAATGCCACCAAACCAAGGCCCATGGCAAACGTTGAATCTGAATCCCGGTGTGCAGGAGGTGTCGCTCCCCCTCGACTGCGTGCAGAGGGAGCCCAGAGAGATTTGTTTCCCTGGGTTCACCTTAGCCACTGAAGTGCCAGTTGCATCACAACTATGTAAATGGCAGACCACTATGAGACCTCAACCATGGCAATAATCAGGCCAAGAAATATTTTGTGAATCTTTTGCTGCTCTCTGTGGATACATCTTAATTAGCTGGTTATTTGCAGTGGAGCTGCTGAATTTACTTTATTGTCACTATTTATACTTGACAATATTGCGAGAAATTCTTCTGCTGACCTTGAATCTTTATACCTGGTTGTGTTGACAAGGTGACAGATTCCTACCCTCCAAATACATCATTAATCTTTAAATAAAAGAGGCACATTGCACAATTTCCCCCCTTTCACAAAGGAAAGGGTTTGATTTTTAACATGGGAGGGTTAATACAGTACAATGGCTTGAAAATTTGGTTATTGCCAGGTGCTCTCAGCAACATGAATGGTCAGAATACACAGGTGAAAATTTCCCCACCTTTATATCTCCAAATGGATCTAAATGAATGCAGAAATACATTCAAAATACAAACAGAAAACAATTCCAGGAAGAACTGAAGTTGCAGCAGCCTTTTCAGAATAAGGGAAGAGCTTAAAAGGAAAGACCATATACACATATTAGAATATATTTTAAGGAAGCTATGCTGGAGAGATTTAACCTAATTACTTACTTCTTCTAGAGTCAAACAATTTCACTGAGGCAACGTTACTTTCAGGATAAAGGGCAAATCATGTACAAGTACCATACAACTCACGGTACTTCAAACATGGTATTTACCATTAAAATAATACACATGTAAAATATCCAGTTTTGTCCATTACTAAGAAACTAACAAATGTACTCAGACACATTAGAAAAATAATGAGGAAAAAAATGTAATGTGTAAGTAAATTAATTTGAAAATTGAAGTATTTAAAGCAATGATTTTACCCTCTTTTGCTTTCTTAAAAAAAGATTACCGAAAACTGAATTTCAAACAATGCCTTGTAATTTCTAAAATATGCTGTTCTGGAAAGTGATCAAGGTTTCCAGTTACACTCCTGCTGTTTGAATTCAATGTAATTAATTATCTTCTGATTTTTCATATGCATGAGCTTTTTGTACTTTTGAATTCTGAATTGCTCAATATGGCAAGTATTTTTTTTTTTTTTTACAATAAGTTTTCCAATATATGTAATGTTTAGTTGCCTTCATATCAAGAAGCTATGCTATACCAACAAAAACACATTGCATTGGTAGCCCTCATAGAACAAAGTGACTGAATAAAATTATTTGAAACACAGCTACTGGCAGAGGTTATTAAAATTGTGGCTTTTTATCTGAAGAGACTGGGACGAAGCGAAGACTTCGCCCAGCACCCCGCCCTTTCCAATAGGGCAGGCAAAAAATACCTCTCTGATTTACCTAGGAAAAAATGGAGTTACTGCTTGCCGTGAAATAAGAACAGGAGTATTTTTCTTTAAGTCTGTGTTTTCATTAATTACACACTAACCTGCATTCTTTGGGTGGCAAATAAAATGAGGAAAAGCGTTAGAAGTAGTATTTCCCATAGAAACAATTGCCTGTCAAAGCAAGCGTAAAAAGACAAAAGGCAGAAACACTGTTTCAGCTTGAATGCCTTAATGTCACCATTTGTCATGCAGCACTTCCTCAGAAAACCCCGAAGTACAGTTAACTCTACTCCTCTTTACACCGCACACTTTCTCCGTTGGTACAGGATTAAAATGTTCCGGGCCTGACAATGAAACAGCAGAGCCATCGCACATTGTTATGCAACTCACTGTCTGCAAGGGTGGCTTGTAGCTCCTTCTTTATTCAGCAAGTGCCAAGTGCATGTTTAATCAATGTCACAGCTCACCACAGTGTGCAACTAAAGCCACTGTCATTCCTCTCTTCAGATTTGCCTGGCTAAGTTATGCAATGCTCTGAAGAATATCTTGGAATTCTTTCCAGAGGCTCTGAATGCAGGTGTGTGACGGCGTTCACACTATTGCCAGTAAAGCAGACTTCTTTTCATCCTTTTTCAGGCTGGACTAAAATTACATACTGTGACTGCACGTAGTTCGCTGCATTTGGAATTACAGCATGTCAACGTGAGAAAGCCTCTTCAGACGGCTGCCACAAAGAGTAAATCAAAGGCTGGGTTTTTCTGAAGTCTTAATAAATAACTAAGTGTAACTGAATAAAACCAGGAGCTGTTCGTATTTTTTTTTTTAAAGGCAAAACCAAACAGCATGCATTTCATTGCTCTGCATCATCTAAGGAAAAAAATCCTCAATTTTAATGAGAATTAGTCAACAGTGAGGATCATTACCAGAAAGGGTTTTACTGTTTTTCAACTACACTTGCTTCAGTGGATTACTGAGAGAGAAGGCCAGTCATTTGGAAGGTTCTGTAACATTATTATCCTCACCGATAAACTTCTTCATCAAGGAACTGTTCATGCTCCTATCTGGTCTGTCTGAACGAGGAGAGCAGCCCCTTCATGAAGATAAAAGCCTGGTTTGCCACTGAATCGACAAGCAAGAAGCATGTCTGATGACATTTTATTCCTGATGCAATGTAGGGTAAGAAACATCATATTTTTTTTACCTTTCTGTGGGATATGCTCTGAGCTGATGGCTTTAATTAGACTCACAGCAGAAATACGTTCATCTCCAATGATTAAAGATGTTTGCCAGGACAGAAAAATGCTATTGCACTATAAAATGCGACTGCAAATTTTCAGTAAATTGGGGTTATCTGAACTAGTAGAAATCCCAATCAAATTTTTGTTTAAGGTCGGAAATTTCTCTCCAATAAGGCTAAAACAGCATAGCAGATTACATATAATATCAACATCTCAGCCACCAATGAATATAATTTTACAGGGAATATGTTTCTAGAGGATACTTGACTGTAAATTAAGAGTATAACAGCAGCTAAGTAATAGAGACGACCTGTCAACCTCACTTTTGCAACAAAAAAGGTAATAAATCATACACGCATCTGTAAATATCTATCTCAAGTCCTTATATTGCATAGAATTTTGTTACTACAAAAGTACTACTGTCCTTTGGCATACTGCAATAATAAGCATATATAATAATAACAACAATCTTTATATTTGAAGAGAGACATTTTCTGTTCAGTGTTTACTGTTGCATGGATGTCCAAAAGCTGATCTATTAAACAAGTAAAAGGATAAGATCTCACCTGCAATTGCCTACTTAGGGCTCACTGGTCAAAAGAGACTGCGATACTGTATTAAGGAGGCATATTTTCCATGTTCGAAAACAGCAGACATGAATATTTTCAACTGTTTTTGTACTGTGACAGTTAAATATTTAACAACAGCTGAAAATTCACATAATCTCCCGAGGCATTTCAGAGTATTTGACAATGCTCACATATCTCCTTTCATCAATTTGATGTTTCTTAAGGAAACAAATTAGCAGGCTAAAGACAAATTTTAAATTTCTTTTATAATAAAGCATGTAAATGGGCTTCAAGCATCAAGCTATTTTTCACTCCTTCTACCAAATCTGTACATACAGAACAGCTACTTTTAACATGGTTAATTGGCTTCAAGCATCAAGCTATTTTTCACTCCTTCTACCAAATCTGTACATACAGAACAGCTACTTTTAACATGGACACGTTCATACGAAAAGAAAACAAAACACGAATACAACTCAATAAACAGAGCATTAAGAAATATTGTGTAAAGAACTACAGAATTGTTTTTAAAAAGATCCAAGCTTGCATGTTTGTCAGACCAGATTTACCATTTGCTTTCTTTCTTCTAGCTAGCTGCCAGAATATTGGTGAAGGTATTTGCAGGAAAAATGGGGACCTCTGCCATCAGAACACTGGAAGATGTAAAAAGGCAAGAGGAGAAAGAGGAAAAAGAAGAATCTATTTTAGCACTGCTTGGGATTATTGGAACTGTACTCAATTTATTTGTTATTGTTTTTGTGTACATCTACACTACACTTTGACGACATTTTTGAACATCAATTGCACAGCACACAGTGCAAAGACCAGCGATGGTAAGAATGATTTCTAAATTTAAAGCAAAAGAAAACATTGTCTGAAAAGATTATCAAAAACATTCCAGGGCAAAGTGTCTGGCTAAGGGCGCCGCATCAAGGACTGCTAAATCTATCTGCGAGCCCAGCTAGGGTGCTAAATTACGTAAACGAAGGCAGAGGATATTCAACTTCTCATTCATAACAGATGAAATTCAAATAGCAGAAAGAGAGATGGCATTGTTTTATTGCCAGCAAACATGCAAGACACAAGAAATGTAAGCAAACACTGAAAACAATCAAGAACATAGAAAGAGATTAATTAAATATAGAAATACATATAAAGCAAGCCCCATGACGCTTTCTATGGCTTTGTGCAATATGTCTCTTCATAGCTGAGACCAGAAAACAGACAAAAGGGTTTTATTTTTAGATCACTGTAATTTAGGCTTGTAACTTACACTAATGTATAAGTGTGGAAACAGGAACACTGTTATACCAAAAATTGTAATATTATAAATAAAATTTTAACTATTGACTATATTCTGCAGCATTTTTGTTAGTCTTGTGGAAAGCTAAAAAAGGTTACATTTTCTTGCCTTTACTGAATCTGTATTTGAAATCATGCTATGCTGACAATGTGCTTTTCTAATTAAAAATCCTTTAAAGTGGTGTGAAAAAATAAAGAATAGTTTCAGTACTTCTTTTAAGAAATATTAATAATTACTATGATACACTAATACATATTCTCCAAATGAAAAGAAAAATCTTAAATTACATTTTCTGTATCGCCATTTTTAGAATGTGTTTAACATAAGTCAGAAACAACATGTTTTCATCCTGATGCTTATTTTCAGGTAAAATAAAACATATCACACAAGGATTCATGGTGTTGCATGGAAAACAGGTTTAATATCTTTGCCCAGAAGAGTGTACTCTCTCTTTCTGGACCAGGTCCTGCAGACATTTTCCCTTTTTGTACCATTTATGATTGAGGCCCAGAATTGCAACTCTTATGCATACTTCATGGAACATGCAATTAGACTACTGAAATTGATTAAACTATTTCCACGTTTTAAATTAAACCTATGTATGTCTTTGAATTAGATCCAAAGCTGCAGACAGTCGGAGGTCACAGAAGCTTTTATACACATGAATATATCTCGCATATATCTTCTAATAGAAAAGCTACTTTTGAAGGCTTAGGATTAAAAACACAGTAGAAAAACAACACAAAAAAAAAAAGGCATCACTGATTTTAATAAATACTGTTCTTAGTATTACATGTGCCACAGAGGAAGAATGGAGGAGCTGCATTTCTGCAAATCAGCTCAGTTCTTTCTCCTAGGCTGCAAAGCTACATCCAGTCCTTCCATAAAATGAGAAGCAAAGAAATACATCTCTTGTACAGGTGATAGCTTATTACTATATAGAACTTCATAACCGCTAAACCAACTGAGCCTTTGGAAGGCACTTCGAAACAAGCACATGCATAAAATAAGGTCAGAGATCTACAACAGAATGAATTTGGCAATGGTATTTCAGTCAGTTGCAGAAACTATACTGTAACACACCGATTTATGGACGAATGAGGTGGAAGATGGTATATTCTGGTTTTGCCACTCTGAGTCAATACTGGCTCATCCGGAAGAAATGATAAACAGAGCTGAGGCTGCACGGGAAGGAAACACGTGCAGACAAGAAAATTTATTCGCTATCCATAGTCTACAGCAAATCTCTAGTATTGTATACTCATTTTCAGTATATGAAGCACCAAAGCATTCTGTAAAACTAAGCTACGTTCTAGAGAAATTATGCAGGTTATTCATGTTTATTTAAGACTATAGAATAGAGTCAATACATTATTAAATTTTTCAATGTACTTCTTATATCTACATGCTTATGGATATTATTACCTTAATCTCATAATACAAGGATATTTGAGATGGTTCTTAAAATGAGAGGTTACAAGAACCTGAAAACTGAACAGAAATATCAAATTCGGGTAGAAATTACTGCTGTTTATTTTGATCCTGAAGTTATTTAAAACTTGTCAATTCTGTGAAATAAACAAACAATTTTATTTTATGTCATTTCAGTGCATAGCTCTGTTCTCGAAATTATGTATCAACTAGTACTCCAGCACTGGAGTGAGACACTGCACCTTTTTTTGTAAACACTTCAACAGCAAAACAGATAAAAAGCAATCCCAAAGTTATAACCAAATGTGGCAAAGATTCAGCATCATTCTTTTACCAATGAATGAGTTCATTAACATCAACGAAAACTAGTGGAATTTTTAATTTTGGTAATTATATACTCTCTATCTAAACTGCCTTTGTACTTCTAATTTCGCTTATAGCAAAAGGCTTTGACCCTTTGAAGGAAGTCACAGGGTAACATTATCATTAGAGATTGCCCCGGCCTATGAGTTATATTTTGTTTTAAAACAGAAGTCTGATAACCTCTCTTAACAGGTAATACTTGCGTTCTATACTCATGCGGACCTAAGTCTAACTTCAGTTAAATGAGCTCCAACATACAGCTCTGGCGCTTACACATTTAATCCAATATATGCATAAGAATCTCAACAACAAAAAATATCTTAACAGCAACTACCTCTTATTAGAGACAGTAAAAAGTCAATAGTCTAGGGAAAAGCAGAATTTCAACATTTACACTACAGTAGTACCTTCGCATCTTCAGTAATGAATGAATAAAGATGTAGTACTCTTAGCTGAATGAGCTCAGTGTATCAACTTCAGAGACCTGTAAGGGAATACAAGCTTCCCCGAAGTACTCAGCATACTCAGTCCAGTGGAACTGGACTACTTTGCAAAAACTAAAGCAACACCATATAATGCCTTGAGAATAAGTATGATTAATAGAAAAGAAATATTCTAACTTCAGCAGGCAATCTAGTGTAGTTCAAGCTCTGAGGTAAGGAGGCGAGGCCTGAAAAGTATGACTTTAACGGACTCAGCTAACAAAGGTATATCAAAAGAGGCAGAAAAGAGATTCAGTACGTTCACCTTCAACAGATTTGCCCATAGTACTTCCTAAATAAAGTTCACAATGAGGTATTTGGCAGCGGGATGAAGCAGCACAACTGTTAATGAATCCACAAGTCCAGGGTGCGACAGTACTTGGTAAACTATGAAAGGTGCATTAAAAGCAAATATTGGACTCTTACAAAGTGGAACATGCTGGTCAGTAAACAAAATTCTTTTAGTAAAGCCCTCACACAGAAATGCATCATCTCTTCTCAGCAGTCAAACCCAAGGAAGCCTGAGCTAATGTACCACCACAAGCTATGCTGACCACATCACACGCAGTCTTTTTTCCGCCAAAGAAGAAAGGGTGGCTAAGAGGGGGGCACGTGAAGAAAGAGCTGCAAGAAAACCCCAGCTAAAATCACAACATCACCTGATTCCTGTAAGCCTGGGAATTGAAGCAAAGAGAGTTCAGGCAGAATTCTGCAACTTGCTATGAGGTATTCTTCCGAGGAAGAGGTGGTACCAAACCTCTGTCACTCTTCAGCTTTCAACAAGATTAAGTCATCTCAGGGTTTGCTAGATCCTAGTTTAGGGACAAACTAGTACAACTACATTTTTAAGCAAGAAGAGTCTACCTAATATTGTGGTATCACTGATAAATCCCAGCTTCAGTGGGCTTTTTACTGTCCAAGCCTGTAACAAAATATACAGTCCCTGTCCTAAAAGTCACTTGATTTTCCTTCTATTTCATGATTCCCTTCCACTGCCTTCTCTCTATAAACATTGTTAGCTACAGAGACTATTACTACTACTGCTTTCTTCTCTCCCACTTGTAAATACTAGCTTGCATTAGTCTTCATAAACCTAGGTCCATCAGTCAAGTAACTCTTACTTTTATCAGCAAAATCTAGATCAAGATAGCCATGTACTCTAGTTAGAACCTGACAGTCACATGTTTGCTAGGAACCTCTTGTTGCATGGCACAAATTTTATTGTTGTGCATTTTGTTCAAGGAGAGAAATGTTCACATATTTGAAAGAGTTCTTACAGTGGTAATTCTTTCAAATGAAATGTGCTGTACACAAGACAGCAGCGAAAAGGTTTTCCATGGCAGATTTTGGTGTGAAACGTGCATAAATGCTCAGCAATTAATACACGTGAGATGTTCCATTATACAGAAGTTAAGAATGACACAAATTTTACCAATGTAAACATGAATTAAGAACTTAGGAATAAACACAAATGTTAAAAAAAAATCTCACCATGTTACAAAGATAAACTTTTTTCATTTATAAAATGAAAGATAATAAAAGCCACAGTAATGCTATACCAAGATACGAAACAAACACAGGAAAAAACGATCAAGAAACAGGGTGAGGATTACAGCACTATTGCTCCTTGTGATTAGAGCTATGATCTATCTTCCATAATAAGGAAAGTCCTTCATAGACAGATAAACCTTCTTCCTCTACAAGAAAAAAGCAATTATGGAAATTAATGAAAGTGGTCAGTTCACAATTTTCAAGGACTTCACAATCACCTTGCTCTGATGCAGATGAAGCTGCAGAATGTGTCAGAGCAATCTGGTTTGTAAAGATCTGCTTCAAGGTGAGGTTTCTAAAAGATTAAATAATAGTGAGCGCTCCTTACCTGATCAATATTACTTTTATCTAGAACAATCTAGGTAACAATCTAGTCCATATATGTTTTGGGCAAATTGAGCAGGGATGGCAAAACATATTTAAGCAACAAAAAACCTAGATAAATTTCTGTGACAAAGGCCAATTTTATATTCTGACACTGGAATTGTCCAAGAATTTTGCCAAAACAACTTTGCAAGCAGGATGTATCATACCTGTCGCTAACTGAACATGTTTAAACCAAATACAAAATTCTCATCAATACCAAAATAGTTACTATCTTGTATCACCATAGTGGTATTAGCCTACCATGCAATAAAGGGAAACAGCACATCCAGCAGCTTCACTGCATATTGTATTTCTTTACAGAAAACTTTTCCCACATAATTTTATGCATATGGCAGGTATGTAATATGTGAAGATCACTTTTATTGCAACTGTTTACAGCAAAACCAAAAATCTAGTAGATGAATAGGTTAGCAGAATAGAGCATAAGGGTAACCTTTAACTGGTACCACTAGCATCCTTTCAAGTCTGAGAAAGTTACGAGTTGCTGAAAATTGTTATTTTCTGTCAGCATTGTGCTGGGCACGGCTTGTACCTGCTGGGGTGCCAGAACCTGGGAACGCTCTATTAACATTCTGTATGCAGCGTCCTAATTTCTCAGTCCAGCATGTCACAGAAAGAATGCAGTTAACCTGCTTCTTCCACATGAAAGTAGGTTTTGATAGCAGAAGGTACGCTGGTCTGAAAACTAGAAGACCATGTACATGAGTGTTATTAATAACACTGTTCCCTTTCCTGCTCCCCCTGAGTAGGCATTCAGCCCTATTGGTGAAGGGAATTTTTCAGTCTTACGAGCATCATACCACAGCTTAACATAGCTCCAGAGCTTCTCAACCTGT